AACAACAAGAATTCATTTCATTGATTCCAACATTTCATCAGATTTGTCATAGTGATTTTGTTACAAGTAACTGGTTATCTTATCTTAATGCCGTTTCTCGTTATCTTCTCTCATCTGATTTTCGAGAAACAGGAAGTTTACTTTTTCAAATACTTACTTCATTTTGCCAGCTTGCCCAGGATGCAATTAATAGCAGTCTGCCAAAATTTTATTCAACACGTTTTGTCTCAAATCATGTGACAGATATCAAATTACTAAATAAAGAAAGTCAATCACGTATTCAATTATATATATTAACAACAGCCAATGAATTCGCTTATTCATTTGATTTCATACGTGATGCAACGTTTCTGAACGCATTACTTTCGGGTTTACTTACTAATTTCAACTTCGGAATTGCCGGTTATGATTCATATTTGTCTGGATATCGTCTCAGTCAAATGCCTAAGTCGTATAATCAATCATATAACTGTGATTGCTCTCTTACAGCATCGTGTGTGTCTTCGGCAGCTATTTCTGATAATATCACTGGTGATGTTCTATTCGTCATTCCAGGACTCTATACTGGTTGTCAGTTAGTCGAAGCAATGCGTCAGTCAAATCTAGAATGTTTATATAATCAAACATGTCTTAACCAAATTCACAACTATATTCAATCTCCTGTATCCTTTAATATTACAGCACTCAATACTTCTGTCTTCAGTCGTTATAACCCATCAACAACTATTAGTCAACTTTTGGCTAATCTCATGGTAGAATCATGGGTTCAAAATGTTTCTTATTCTGCATATTATCATCAATGCCAACCAATTCAATGTACCTATATGAAAATTGAAAAAAACGAGGCGATTTACATCATAACAACATCGATTGGTTTATTCGGTGGTCTTTATAAAGTTCTCTACTTTCTCACACCAATTATTGTTGAAATAATTCGACGTCGGCGAGGTAAAGTAAATTCTATTGTTGTTATTACAATCCGGAGAACTACTTAAGTAGCAGTAGAAATGATATTGAATTCATTTATAATTTTAACTTTTTCTAATAAAACGCTATTTTAACGTAGACAATCAGCAATTGTAAAGATTTTAAGATGAAAGTAGATGGAAATTCAATATGAATATTTTCGTGAAGTGATTACTTTTCCAATCGAGATCGCTTGGACGAGGGACAGAATGCGATTAGGTATGCACCGAGCCGGATTCCAAACCGAATAGCTTGGGTTCGGCAAGGCTCTTTCCTGACTAGGCTCGAGTTCCGTCTCTCACAATTAATTTTCGTGTTGATTTTCTAAATATTCTCTTCTCATAAGTGTTTTATTATTTTTAGTATTATGCTTCAGTAGCACTGCGTTGTAAACTCTCACATTCTTTGACTATGATGCATGCGAGAAAGCAATTCTCTTGAAGTGTCTTTGAGAGAAGAAAACCAAGAACAAGCCTAGTTTGATCGAACAGAGCCTGACTGCACCCGAGTAGCTCAGACTCAGTACGTCCCTAGACAAAATGATATTATTTGTAGATTTGTTCCATCAGTAATATTAGCAAATATTTCATGCAACCGTGACATCTATCAGATAAATCGCATAGGAGTGTTTTACATAGTAGTTCTCGAATTCGCTTAAATCAGATAATGTTGCATTTATTTTTTTTCTTTCTCTTCTGTGCCATATTTTCTTTTTCTATCTCTCTATTATGCAGCTGGCTGTAAGAATGAGGGTGAATATGAAGAGAAAAGCCGAACTTATCTGCTCTCATGAATTGTGATCTAGTGATTCTAACAAAAGGATACATTGCAACATACCCATCATTTTTATCGGATAAATTTCTGATCACCAGCCCACTTTTTGCCTCCTATGTCATAACATGCAATCCGTTTTATGTTTTACTCGATCTTTTCTGAAAAAATTAGAAAATATTTGCAAAAGAGACGCCTCATATTTCTTTGATCTCATCTTTTTCTCAAGAAATATCGAGTAAACCCAAGAAAAATTTAATATTGTAACAGGAGAAAAAAAATGAGTCTTCTATCAAAAAGTCGCTCAATAACATGGGTACGTGTGTTATAGTGTAGTTTTTCTTAGAATTATCAAATGACAGATCATCACTTCAATGTCGAACAAATGTTGTAATATATCAAGTGCACAGAGCGTTGTTTCTTCTGATGAGTGTTATTGAATAGTGACTGTTGTGAAGCACGACTAGAAACAAGTGTTGAAATATTATAGCAAAAAATTTTGATCCCCACCTTTTCACAGACCGTGACAGACACTTGAGTAAAGATTTTTCTGTCATCATAGATTGCGGGAAGAAACATAACTTAACGAGGGATGTAGAGAAGCATCCCCTTTGATCTTTGGACTCATCTACTTCGTGACCATGTACTGGCATTGCCGAGTTGTGTTTGCGATCGTAACAAATATTCTAGCAGTAGTGACCCATTCTTACTACAAGATCGCCAGATTCAGTCGCAAACTCGACGTGCTTTCGAAAGCTTTAGAGACCCAAAGACTTGAATGCTAAGGAATTCATATTGTTCTTTTGCTCGAGTGAGGACTTTCACATTTTAATCTTATGGAGATGCTTTTTGACAGAAATTGATGAAGATGAGCCCAACATATTTTTCATGTGGGAGGCACAAAAGAACTAGAGAGAGAAGGAAAGTTAAGTTGAGGAGTAGGACGAAACGGGACAAATTGTTGTTGAGATGGAACAGAACTAGACAGTAGAAACTTCTTCCTGCTGATCTGTTTTTCAAGCAGACTAATCATTAAAAGGCCATTTATCTAGGAGGGAGGCTTTAAGAAGATATGAACTAAATAGACCATTTGATAGATATTTCGACGAGTCGACTTCAATTTTCGATAAGCATCGATATCTTAAAATCGATCCCTAAGATTTAGCCACTTTGTGATGGGTCTAGAGTTCAACCTTAGGTCATTTTGATGGGTAGTTTCCGACTATTGGATCGATTGTTACCAAAGGAATCTTGAGAGTGAAGGTAGATAAAGCATCTTTACCTGCCGACGACCACCACCCACACTCATCTTCACTTATCCAACGTTATTTTTGGCTTGTACCGCATAAACTCTATGCCGGTCAATGAAAATGACTACCATTTTGAGCTAGTTTTCGATCTGTATTCAGGGTAAAAAAGGCTGCTGTACAGCCGTAAACAATGATAAGGTGTCTCGAAAACAGATTGGAGTTGTTCGCATGAATGAGGTTACGATAAGTTGTACTTTCACTGTTTTCTGCCATAAAAAAACAAGCTTTTTGTACATTCACACATCATACCCACACCCTTTTATGGGTATTTTAAGAAAGGATCATAAAGCACTAAGAAATGTTCTATCTTGATTAATGGAAGTTGGACTGCAGAGTTCGATCGAAAAATGTGAAAAACCGGTGATGAGCACATTTCAGCCCCTTCCCCCTCCCTTAAAAAAGTCAATTTTCGGTAGAATGATCAAAATGGAGATAAATACATGGAGAGATAGCCCGTCATTTGCTCTTTCATTAATGATAAAAGCTTCTCTTCGATATCTCGAACGCGCAAACCAAATTTCTCTGTCGATACTCATTCAATGTATATAAAGACACTTATATAACTCGGCACCCATTTTTAAGGGTTTTTTTGAGTCGCTGGACATTGGATCCCATTTTTTCCCTAAACAAGTAAGTATTTAAAAGAAAGAGCTATGTACTGCACTGGATCCTGACATGCTCTGTCAAACAAAAAACAAAATTTAAATACATCACACAGATCTGGACTGAGAAATTTGGTATGCCAAATGAGTTATTTTTGATTCTTGTTTGGCTGGTATCTCGCCAAAACATCATGGTATTGGGCTGAAAATTTTATATCATTTTAACGTTCCTGAGCTGAGATCAATTTTTGACGGGAGGAGCCTTAAACAATATCTATGAAAACAAATCATAAACAAGTCCGATTAGGGTGTCATTGAAGATGCTCTGTAAACATAAACGTTCTATAGCCTGTACGTAACTACGCCGTAAACATATGTCTGTAGACGAAAACCTACAGATCGTCAGAAACAATTCGTTTAGTATTGGATTAATGTCCTTTACGAATCGTTTAGTTCTATATGAGCAGCCAAGTCAATACTAATTCCATCCTATTCGACGAATTAGAATTGTAAGAATTGAGGCTCGTGCATTCGTACTACCCAGTAATGTTTCTAGAGGTGACTGAGTCGTCTGTACTTTCCATTGGGCTAGACCGCAAAGTCTGTTGGTTTAGATTTGAGAAGCTTTTAACGATATTACAAACGAATCTAAAATAATGAGTTAATCTGGAAGCAGATCAAAGATAGTGTTCAAAGGTTTTTTAAATCGTTCATTCACTTGTACGGAACAGTGAAATCATTTTAGTAATTGTTTTCTATAATCCATACATATACTATAGCGCGATCATTTCAAATGAGAAAAATTCTTTACACGGTAACCTTCTTGTTAATGGATAGATACATCTAATTGTTATAATTGATATTCATCTCTCAGTCTTTGATAGAAAATAGTTTTCTTTATTTTTACTTTTTTACATATAAATATTTTCTTTATATTCATGTTTGATTATTAAAATTCATAAAGATAAACTAATACTTCCATTACTAAAGTTTATGGAGAATTTATCAAATAAAACTCACCATTGACTTACATAATGTATGTTTTAAGTTAAAAATAAAAATAATTCCTTTGATTGGAAATTAAATCTTAACACAGTATATTCAATATTTTAGTTCCCACAGTCAACATATCCTACCATCAGAAACTGCAAAACTTCGCTGGAAAGATATTCAATTTTATTCGAACATTGAATCTGTTTCCAAGTTCACCACCATCAGTTGACCAATATGTTTTAAAAACACAAAGAATTTCAACATTTGCCTATATCATTTTACTGATCGTTAGCTGTATCATTCTACTTGTGTACACGACCACAGAGACTGTAACTCAAACAATAACTGTCAAAACACCCTCATTCAATGAATATGAAACTTTATATAATGAATACCATGAAAAAATCTCGTGTGCATGCTCAACAATTAACAATGAATATCAGGATTTTCTATGGATTCATCCGATATTCCATCCAGTTTGTACGAGCGATTTTGTTCATGACAATTGGACAAATTATAAATATCCATCCAATACTATTTTATCTTTGTTTGATTTTCGTGTTCGCGCCTCCTGGATGTTCCATGTTTTGCCATCATTTTGTGATCTTGCTAATGGTACCATTTCTAATGCATTGGTTTCTTTTAATTCTACTCGCATAATTTCAATCGAACTACTTTCGGAGGATGTATTTCATGGAAAAACACAACAATTTATTGATGTATTCATTCAATCAACGAAGAAATTATTTTCTTATCATCTTGATTCTATTCGTACAACCACAGAAGCCAATTTCATTATGGCTGGATTTAATACAAATACTGTTAGCGCATTTCTAGGATCATATCCATCATTTGACCTAAATATTTTTGATATAAGTTATGACTATTGTGATTGTTCTGCATCAGCTGAATGTGTAAGTAAGGCAATAATATATTCTTACAATGGTACATTATTCACTCGTATATATACGATACCGGGGTTCTTTATTGGCTGTTATATGGAGGAAGCAGTACGAAAATCGTCCCTACAGTGTTATTTCAATCAATCATGTATTGATACATTCAAGTTCTATTTAAATTTCAGTCAATCATTCGATACAAAACCCCTTGATCCACATATGATCAGTACTCATAATATAACAAGTTCAGTCGATGATCTGGTCAAAAATTTAATGGTTGAACAATGGGTTTGGAATGATTCGTTTAAGATTTATTATCAAAAATGTCGTCCATCTTCGTGTTCTTATACATTGAGCATAAAAACACCATTGATTATCATTATCACCACATTAATTGGTCTATTTGGTGGATTAGTGAAAATCTTACGAATTGTTGTGCCATTTGTTATACAGT